ATTTAGTCATTTTCTTTGATAAAAAAACATTTTTGTACGGAAATATTACTTATCAACTTAATTTTAAAAAACACGTGTAAGGTACGAAGTAAAAAAAAATTGCATTATTATAATAATATGAATGTAAAATTACATGATGAGATTGTTATACATGCCAATCCAATTGGAATTTACTAGTTATCTTGATATCATTTTTTTTTTTTAGCTGTATAGCAAAAAACCAGGTGAGTAAGAAAGGGTTTTTTTTTTTAAAAAAAAAAAATTAGAAGGGAGAGGGGTTTTTTAGTCTGCTAGAAAAGTAAGAAAAAAAAAAAAAGAGGTCTAGTGTTCTTGAACTTAACCAAGTCAAATTGATATCATATGACGCAAAACAAAGTACAGGACAACTAATTAGCGATAAATGGAGGGAAGATGGAAAAAACAAAGAAGACAAAAGTTAAAATGCACATACAATGTACCAAATATATTTAAGGAAATTTATGAATCCGAGAAATAATTCTTTGTGAAATTGCAAATTTGTTTTTATTGAAGTCTGACTTTCTAAGAAACCTTTGTCTGAAAATAATAGAAACAAATATCTATTTTCCGTTCGGTTGATATATATCTAAATCTTTAGTGTATTTATATACAAAATAAAGAAAATCCTAGCCAGAACGTTCTAAGACATGTCTTTTCTTAGAAGAAGTCACCACTTAAACTTATTAGAAATTTTCTGCTTGGCCATTTTGTTTTGCTTCTCCCAGGCTGGTTGTTTTGTTTTGTTTTGTTTTTTCTTCCTTTGTTTGTTTTTGTTCTTGCTGCTTGTATTTATCCAAAGCCGCAAAGGGAGAAAAAGACAATTAAGTACAGCAATGATCCAGCATTTCTGAATCAATCGTCCACAGTGAGAAAGAAATGATGTCGTTTTGTTATTTTCAGGCCAAAAGAAAAGCAATGATGTCGTTGCTAAAGAAACAAGATTAGTTTAGAGGAATTATTTAACTATTTTCTATTATAACTTTTTTAATGTATTTTCTATTCTATTGAACCTTTGACGAATTTCAACCATGCATCGCTCCTTTTAACGTAAATTGATAATTTCACTAGCAGGTTACGGTCCAATAACAAAGTAATATGATAAACTCTCTCTCTCTCTCTCTCTCTCTCTCTCTCT